AAAGATTGCTAACTCAGTACAGTACGAGCAAATAGGACAGAGTTACGTAAACATATCACCAGAATGACTGACAATTAGGAGGACTACCGGTACTTATTTTGATGATCCACTCGGAAAAAGAACATCCTCCACTATACCTTTAAGTCGACATTCAGGTGCTGCTAAGTAAAGAACCTGATTGTCTGATTCGGATCAGTATAAGAACCGCTGCAGAAGCAGGAGTTTTGGTGGTTTGCTGCCATGGAGCATTCAGGTTTGTGTTAACACACTGCCAAGATGGAAAGTTATGAGCATCTGTCCCTCTGTCTGTTTGTGTCTGCATGTCGAGCCACTCTAAACAGATGTCTTTTGTTCAAATGTAGGTTAGAGAAGAAATGAAGCCCAGTAATTTCAGACAGGTTTGTAGGATCTATCGGTCACTGTAGAATTTACTTCAGGGGCCAATGAGCTCAGCGCCCAGAGCTCCTGAACCACACTTTTGAATTCTGGATCCCCTGTTCTAATATTGAGTGATAACTCAGAAATATGTGGCTTATTTGTAGCTTAACGGAGGGCAGGGCCGCCTGTGGAGCTGGTTGACAGTTGCCTTTTGTATATCTGCTTCTTTTTCTATGTCTGCTTCTGTCTCCTTGAACCCCAATCGGCCTCTGCAGATGGCCGCTCACATTGAGCCTGGTTCTGCAGGAGTTTTCTTCCTGTTAAAAGAGAGATCTTCCTCTCCACTGTCGCTACAAGCATTGTTGGTGTAAGTGATTGCAGGTGTAGAGTCAAGAAGTTGATGCAATTAACTAGTTTTTCTTGGATAGAAAACTTTGAATCGGTTTGTATTTGGACTGTATGATCTGGTTGAATTGTAAAGTGCCTTGAGATGACATGTGTTGTGTGCTATATAAATAAGCTGAATTGCTCCCTTTTTTGCTCAAGCCTGGCGTGTTAAAATGAAATTGAATTACAGATTGTTATCTTAAACAGTTGGTCACAATTGAAATCCTCAACATTGCTAGGAAGGATACTGTTGCCTTGCTCTTTTATCTCTTAAATAATAAGATATACTAAAGAGTCAAAGTTTTTAAAGATGCAGCAGGCAGTGTTTGTTCAAATGAGCAAGGCTTTGTTTGTCAATCTTGTGTCTATGCAGAAAAACTAGAGTCTGAAAATAACTTATGTAGGTTTGAAATTGAATGTAACATTAAGTTAGTTTACAGTAAGCAGCAGCTTTGATTTAAGGTGAAACGGTTGGATCATAAAGATCTTCATGAAATCCCGTCTGGTTCCTTGTTTTCTGTCTCTTTCCTGTTAAGGTATGAAATCTTTGAGCCAAATCCCCAGTTTTGAGCCATAAAGCTACATCTGCTGCTGGTTTATTCCATTGATGTCCTGTCTGTATCAATTCCCGCTGCATGTCTGTTGGCCGACTTATTCAGAAGCTGCTACTTGATGTTCTCTTGTTGTGTGTATTAGAAAGCCAAATCTGGGTGGAGATGACAGAGGGTGTAATCGCTGGCTATGTGATTCAACAATAAGACCCTTAGAAGCCATTCAGACTGGGGCCTGTCCTTGACCCTTAAGGAGCTTGTAATGTGGGCTTTTTTCCCCTGCTCTTTGTATTTCCAGGCACAAATGAGGAGGGGTGCCGGAGGTGGAGGGAGGACCAACCACTGAGTGAGGGCTTCTGGCCCTCCATGTCAGTGGCAGCATACAGGGGGAGCTTCACACACACACATAAAGACATGCACGCATTGGTTCTCCTGGCGTGGACTCATTTCATTTGGAAGGAAGGGTGAAGGTTTGAGGGTGAGACAAGAGAGGGGATGGAGAGTTGAGAGAAAAGAAGTACCCCCTCCTCCCACCTTCGGGAACTCCAGCAGGGGGCCGATCTTAAAGGCTTCTCTGTCTCTCCACAGGGGGACGGGGTGTGGTAGGGGGGCAGGGAGGCTCAATCTGCGGCCCCGCTGGTCAGCACTGGGAGCTCCACGTTGCTCGGCTATCCATGACAACCAGAGTGAGAGACGCGAGAGGGAAAGTGAGGGAACATGGAAAAGCTCAGCTGCGGTCAGAGAGCGCTCGGTTGGAGCAGAGAGATGAGAACAAAGCACCCAGTGATTTTCATTTCTACCTCTTTGTTTGCTTTATATTGTCCACAGACGTGTCCCCTCTTTGCTTACTGGGAATAAAGAGGCTTCAAAGGAGATGCAGGCACACACAGCCATGTCGACATAAATGCACACACATGTGTGGCTAATTGAATTATGTGTATACAGTGAGTCAGATGCTTTCTGTTCACTGTGGCTTCACTGTGAAAGCAGCTCTCAGAAGGGGCACAGCACCCCTAAAGCTGAAGAGCAAAGGCCGGCAGAGGATGCAGAGAGGGTTTTTTAAAGAAAATGTCAACAGATTTTAAACCTCTGAGGTTACATCCCTGTTACACAAAGGGCTATGCTCTTCTGTGTTCATCACTGGATTGTAAGTTAATGGTTCTTATGTTAAGAGCAGAACATGTTTAATAAGCATCAGCACTGTATACAAACAAACTTTCACAAATGCAGAAGTTAGTGTAGCAAATGCTTCTCAGGTGCTTCATGAGATATAATGAAACTTTATGGAAGGTAGAGGCCAATAAAGATGAAATCTATTTGCTCTCTTTTAAGTGTTTTCAATATTCAAACTGAAGTATTTCCTATTGCATAATCAATGCATGGAGAATTACTATTCAACCATCAGAAACAAAGTAAACGTATTTTTATGTCAGAAGATGTGGCAAACATGTTTGCCTGTTTCAGAAGAGAGAATTGTGGGATTGCGTATTGGAAGGAACATCAATTTAAATGGGATTTGTATAACCTGATAGGTAATACAAAGAAACATCACCAAGAAGGTGCTGGGTTTGAGTGCTGACAGGGGTCTTTCTGCACAAAGTTTGAATGTTCTCCCCGTCCATGTGTGTGTTCTTTTCAGATACTCTGGCTTTCTCCTGGAGTCCAAAAACATTACTGCATTAGAGCTTAATTAAATGAATGGCTTGAAAAGGTAATCAATCATTTGATTCAGCTGTGTTGAAGCAGGGATGCATCTAAAATCTGTAGGACAGTAGATCTTGAGGACCAGGGTTGGAGACCACTGCTCTAAATTATCTCAATTTAGAGTCAGTATCATCATTTGTCCGTTGTGTCTTTGTCTTGTCCTCGTATGGAGAGTGAAGAACCATCCTCTTGCCTGCCGTCCACGGGAAATCTCCCCCTCATAGACATTAGAATCCTAAAACACGTCAGAAACTGTTGCTATGTTCAATAAAAGAACACTCAATGTGAAGGGAGATCAAGTGATTGGGCCTAAAGTACTGTGCAGCTTTAAGAAAACTAGTGATCAGTGAGGCTAATCAGGGTAAAAGCTTAAGGGAGCATAAAGATTAAACTTGAGATCAATAGAGGAAGGCCATGTAGTATGATGGGTCCAGATTTAGCCTGTTCCAGAGTGATGGCTGCATCAGGGTAAGACGGGATAAGGCTTAAGTGATGCATCCATCATGCAAAGTGCCTACAAGCCTGAAGCAGCAGTGGTATGATCTTGAGTTGCTGCAAACACTGAGAACTCCAAGAATGAGGTGTTCATTGTGAACCCTGCTGGTGAAGAAGCTGCAAAACCCTCCAACTCACCTGTCATCTCTAACAGATCTTTTGAAATAACTTTGAGATGTTCAGCTCCATTTGTTTTTAATACACGGACAGAACACCATTCTTTCACTACCATGACTCGTACCTTTTGTGCTAAGTTTGTGTGTTATGACCATGCATGTCTTCTTTGGAAATATCCAAAGGACATTTTTGAGTCTTGCGCTTCATTTGGATGCAGCTTTGAAACTGTCATCTAGAAAGAAGATAATTCATCTTTCAAACCATCTAAACAAGCCATATGTATGTAAAAGTTTTTTGAATTTGTCATGAAATTGAATTCAAATTGACTTCTTTCCTTCCATCAGTTTTCTAATTAAGTAGTTAGCAGCACAGGAGCACCACAGGTGAAGGGCCTCTCACCATTTGTTTTTATTCTGTACACCTCTGACTTCTAGTACAAGAAGTATTTCTGTCATCTGCAGAAATACTCAGATAACTACAGTGGTTGGATGCATTAGAAATGCAAGAGTAAAGGGAGGTGGTGGACTGCTTTGTGGCATGGTGTGGAAACAATCATCGGACCCAAAATGTGAGTAAAAAAGGAGATTATTGTATTTTAGAAGAAACTACAACTTTATTGAACACAATTACCATTGAGGGACGAGAAGTGGAGGTGGTGGAGTAGTATATACCTCAGGGTTTATCTGAGTAACTCGACTGAAGACTATAGTGTGGAGCCGTTTACAAGAAGGGACAACATACTTCTCGAGGAAGATTAGATCCTTCGGTGTTTGCAGCAAGATGCTGCATATCTTCTGTAAGTCTGTTGTGGAGAGTGTGATCTCTTCTGCCATCGCCTGCTGGGAAACAGCATCAGAGCAAATGACTTAAAGAAGCTCAACTAGCTGATCAAGAAGGCTGACTCTGTCCTGGGAATTCCTCTAAAACCTCTGGAATTGGTTTTTACAATCAATAAGTATTCACAAAATTATTATTATGGGAAAACCCTGATAATCCTATTAAACAGATTGACATACATGAGCTCTTTCTGTTTCTTCAGATTTGCTGTAAGACAGCGTCTACCTGTTGAAGAAGTCCCTCACATTTAATTCCGCTTTGTATGAAGCTATTTCAATTTTATTGAATTAACAGAGACTAGCAGAGTCTAAAATGGAGCATCTGTTTTTCTTTTATTTTTTGTTATTTCTATGAGAATTGCCCACACTGTTCTTTAATGACAGTCACCTTTCTGCCGATGACCTCAGTTGAGTCCACTCTCTCCCTCAGTTCCACTCTCAGTTGCAGTTGCGCCATTCAGCCACAACTCGCCGCTGTTGCATAACTCTCCTCCCCTCTCTCCCTCCCTCTGCCCATCTCACTCTCTCTCCTGCCTCTCTGCCTCAGCCAACCCGGGCTGTGCCGAGCTGCTCCCTGCGGGATCAGAGCGCTCCCCCGCCGGGACCCTTCTCTCACATCCCCCTGCTGGGACGCGGCTACATTTCCAGCCAAGCACTGCCTGCCTTGGCTTTATTATGTGTGTCTGCGCCGCAGCCCCGCCAGCAGAGGCAGGCAGAGGAGGAGGAGGGAGGCTGGTAGCCAGAGTCAGGACAAAGAAAAAGCAGGGAGACAGAGGCTAGCGCAGGGTTAGGCTGCTGTTTATTAGTGCCGCTGTAGGAAATATTAACAAACAGAAAACGTGGGTTGTAAAAGCAGCTTTCCCCTCTGGGTGGAGAAACAGGGAGAAGGAGCGCACTGTCCACAGATCCACACCACCTAGAGTAGAATTAAGGGACGGAACGCAGGAGGCTGTCCGGTTCGTCTCTTGGAGGGGGGTTAAAGAGAACCAGAGCAGGTTGAAACAGTAAACTAAAGGAGCTCAGAGGAAGAGGAGAGGAGCGCGCGTCATTCGAGAGCCAATTATTTTAGAAAATCCCCCCAAAAAAGAACAAAACAACAACAACCCCACTCTCTGCGCGGACTGTGGCTGTCACTTCTCTCTACCACAGCGCGTGGAGGTCCTGCCCAGGTGTTTGATTTGCCGCGCGCGTGGGTGGCAGCTCGCGCACAGGTCCGTCCGCGAGCGCTGGAAGAGATTGGAGAAGGCGGAACGCGTGCCGCGCGACAGCGGAGAAACAGCCGAAACAAACCCAAAAAGGCTGTCTGAGTCGCGGCGAATAAGGAAGTTGTGTCCGCTTATCCTACAGGTTGCGCCAACCTTTTTTTATTTTTATTTAATTCCTTCCTTTGAAGGAGGAAACAGCAGCATCTGCCTGCCGTCCGTTCGCGGTGCGTCGAGCTGCTACTGGCCGGACTGACGCCGGAGAGCGACGCTGCCGCATTGCAACAGGCGGAGAGGAGGTGGAGGTGAAGAAGAGGAGCGGACAGCCCGGCTGCTCCGACGCCTGCATGGGAAGCTGAAACACGAAGCGGAACGAGAGCAGTTAGAGAAAAGCAAGGTTTCAGAGAGCAGAGCGGAGATGTCCAGACGGAAACAGGCCAAGCCGCGTTCAGTTAAAGGTAAGAAAGTCCTGCTTTGGTAGCAGACTGGGAATCCTGCCGCCTTAGCCTTGTTTCTTAATTTAATTGAAGTTAATATCCCCCCAACGGGCTGTAAGCAGGTTATGTGAACCTCTACAGCCACCAAGAAAATAAAATAAAAAAACAACTTGTGTTTTTTCTACTCCGTGTACTTGACTGAGTGGGAAATAGTTTTTTTAATCTGTTAACACGGGTGGATCATTGTTCTGTCAGCGTGCTGTGAGCTTTTTCTTTTTTTTCTTTTTATCACAAACTTGTGGTTCAATGAATGAGTTTGATTTCTGCAGTCTAATTTAGACTGTAAATTTAGTCCCATTTTAATCTTACTGATGTTTCATGATTAAAATATAAAATGTTTTGCAGTTTGTAGGTTTTGCATCTTATTTTAGTCCAATTACTTATATTTTTAACCAGTGCAAGGTGTGGGTTCATATTTATTAAATAAACAACAATAATTTTAGTGTTTTTTGTTGCAAAAATAAGTTTTTAGTGTTGCTTAATGAAGCATGATTTTTTTTTGCTCCATCTTCATAAAGTGTAGTTCATAGCAGTGCATGGGTGAGTGGACATCATGCAGGGGCGGGGTAGAAGGGGGGCATGTGGTGTCCTTGGCCTGGCTGTTTCCTTTATGAGACCCAGATGGGCGACGGGACTGTCCAACCATGTGGTCACCAACACCCCCCCTCCTTCTTTCCCCATTTCCTTAAACCATCCAGGCTTCGCTTTTTCCCTTTGCTGTGCCTGAATCGTTTCTGGCATTAATTGTAACTCATGGCTGTTGGACCAGAACTGTGATGTCTGGTGGTTTTAATCCTCCACTATGAGGCAAGACGCCATTAATTTAGTCCACATTAGACGGGAGGCTGTGTGTGCTGTGCAGGAATCTCTGACAGAATGTGTCAATGCACTCCCTTGGGGATTGGTTTGTGGTTTTTTAGGGCTTTCTACTGCAGGCTGAGTGTTCAGGCAAACTGTTTAAAATTGTTTTTCTTTTAGCTCTCATAGGGAAGAAGATTTGATTGGCAGTGACAGTTTTCACTTCCCACAGCTGCCTCAGGAATCTCTATAGCAAAGCTGTGAAAAAGTGAAGCTCATTCCTGCAGTACAGACCTGATTCTGGTCTAAAAATGCAGAATATTAGCTGCATCCTTTATCAGCGTGTGAACATTTTAACTCAAGAAGCTCAAACCCCATGTTTAGCTGTGCTGAACAGGTTAAACATGGGTGAAGATTTCTGTAACACAAATGAAATACTGAAAGTTTCTTCAGACCAAAATAGCTTATTTAAAAAAAAAAAAGTCATGTTTGGCTCTAAATGGGTGACTGCATCAACCAACAAGTCCTACTCAGATCTTGAAAACATAAGATCTTTCCCCTGCATTGCTCCCTGACCATAACGTGGAAGAAAGGACGAAGATTATTGTTTCGTCCCGTCAGGATCGTTGGATCCATCTGCGTTCTGTGTGTGTGTTTGTCTGAGCTCATGTTGTTGGAAGTGGGATCTCGTCTTTGAGGCCGGCGGGTCTCAGCAGCCTGGATAACGGGAGCTTAGCTTCAGTGAGGCAGCGGAGCGAAGCGAAGCGATGCAAAGCCGATGCAGACGACCACCACTCTCTCTCTCTCTCTCTCTCTCTCTCTGATTTTTCTGCAAATACAGCCCTTGTTGCCTTGTCTTTAAGCGCCATGTGTTATGTATACTCCTGTGTGTGTTTGCTATCTCCCATCCACACCTTGCTCCTCTGACAGCTTGGCACGGCCTGCATGGGAGGGGGGCGCTTTAAGGGGGAAACTAGGGGAGGGGGTGAAGGGTAAACAGTATGGGGGGTGTAGCAGGTGAGAGGCCAGGCTGAGGTGAGCATCACCGGGGGATTATCTGTGTTTTCGTGTTCTCCTGTCTTTCACCTGCTCACCGAACTCTGACCTGGCTTAGCGTCCATACAGCCGCGTGCAGGAAAACAGCTACAGAGAGCCGCTGAGTCCCAATTCCTCCATCTCTGCTGCTGCAGGTCTGGACCGAATCACAATGACCCGCTCTGGAACGGCTTGATCATACATCATTCTGGCTTCTAGCTCAAATGTTATCAAATTCTGTCTTTTTTTGGTGTTTATATTTATTGTTTTCTCTTAACTGCCCTTCCTTAAAGCTGCATAGAATAGCTGTCTGCATTAAGATCCAGGCATAAATGATATTCATCTCTTACTAACTTCTATTTTCCAGCGTTTTCACTTAAGAGGTGATTTGTTCTAGGATAGTTTTTGTTTTTATAACAATCACAATACTTATGAAGTGGAAAAGTATAAATAATCAAAAGCTTGCAAATGTGAATCCAACAGTTTCCTTGACTTTGACCTCACAACCCGCCCTGAGCCTTCCAGTCTTTGTTGATTGATTATTTTTAGCTAAACTCTGCTAAGATGCTGCAGTCTGGAAATGCATGTACTTAAACATTGAAATGGCTTAACTTAAATGCATCAAAACTAAGTCCATCTCTTTGGGTGCATTCTCTTCTCAATCATCAGCTTTGTTTCTTTCAGAGGTTGATAAGTTTTACAACAGATAGTCGATCCATATAATAGGAAAAAAAAACATGGAATTTTACTGTTTGATTCCTAAATAACCACCTCTGTCTCCATTATGTTTTTAAACTCCTTTAACATATATTTTAATCTTCAGTGGAAAGCATAACTGCTGCTCCGTGCATCTTTGATCAGAGTTTTGAAAGCTGTCAGCGAAAGCCCACCCAGCTGGTGGAATAGCCCGTTAGCGAGCAGGGCATGACTGTAAAGAGCTTTAGATGTATATTAATTATAAATGCATCAGTCAGTTATGAAGAATTTGGAGTTGGTCAGTTGTCCCTTGATTGGCTTTGAAGGGTCAAACCGGTCAAACAATAAAAAAACTGAAACTGGTTTCTCTACTTGTCGAATTCATGAATGCTTAAATATGGTGTTTATATGGGGCAGATGTTTGAAAAATAAATAAAAGCAAGCTTTTATTTTTCTTATGTTTTCATGTGCAGCACATTGGCCAGTGGGTGTTCCTCTGAAATGTTCTTTATGAATAGATTTGATCTCATTTGATTATCTTAATTAATTAAAACCCAGTACCTTGTTAAGGGAACCTGTAGCACACTGCCTTCTTTAAAGTTCAGAAATCAGCTTAATAGCTGGTATCAGCCTTCTTAAAGCCTGATTAGTGCATCTCCAAACAACTTCTTTAAGAGGCAGTGAGAGCTGAGATGTTCATCTAACTGGTTGGATTTAATGCACTCGTGCAGAAGACTCAAAACGTGATAATTTAATGAATATAGCTTTGGGATGGTCCTTTGGACTAATGGGGTAAATACCGATATGCATTTTATGTTGGGCAGCTCTAACAGGTTCATTCATGTAGGCAATTAAACTGAAAATCAGTTCCTCACTCAGTGATCACTGTCACACTGTGTTAGGGTTAGGAAGAAAAGCCAAACTGTGTCCAGTTATAAATTGCTGTATGTTTGTTAGAAATGGCAAATCAAAAAGGGGAAAACTGAGGGGATGTTTATGATCAGAACTATTAATTTTCTTTCTGGAACTATATGAATGCATATTAAATCTTGTATTTTTCAGTTTAAACATATATCTGCTCTTTGTAATCATTGATAATTTTTTAACACCCTGTCAGTAGTATATTTATAATTGTGCAAAGTAGGGCTGAAACAATTCTTAGGATTAATCGTGATTATGGAAAAAATTGTCATCTAATTTAGTTATCAATTAATTGATTAAGTGCAGTATAGACAGTAAAATATGCTTTTAGCTGACATAGCAACCCACTGAATGCTGTAATTATATCAAAATCGTAAACTGTCGATATGCTCTATCCAGAACTCCTCAAGTGGAAACGTTTTAGTTTCACCTGGTTTAATTTAGTAAATAATCTTCTATAAGGAAGCTTTGGCTATCTGATTATTAATCGATGAATTGAAAAAAACAATGAACAGATTTATTGATTGGCAAAATAATCGTTAGTTGCAGCCCTAATGCAAAGGAATGCTCTTTAAAACTTAACCTCTCAGGTGATTAAATCACTCTCATCTGATGATTCCCTCTCATGTCTTTTCAGGCATTGATTTAGCAGAAATTTATGTTAAAAAAAGAATAACGCAAATGCAAAAAAATGTTTTATATCTCCTTCCGGTCTTATCCTGGTTATTATGTTCACATTTTGAAAATGAAGTGTTAAGCAGCTGCTCAAAGGAATCCATGGCAGGATTAGGTTTGTAAAGCCTTCCAGTATATATCGGATGACATTTTTTCCTGCAAGGCTGAGAGGCTAGGACCTTGGTGAATTTATTGGAGAGCTTTAAATCTGTCACACAGCATCTATAGAAATGCAGACAATTAATAATTCTTGTTTAAAAAGGTCTAACAGAAATAGATGAAGTTCATGTGCGTTTTCTTAAGCAATTGCTGTAAACGGATCTTCTAACATAATGGAAATAATGAGGCAGTGCATTTTAAGTCCTTACTAAGTCAGCAACATTAGTGTTTTTTACTGATTTCATTGTTTAAACTTTCGTGATTTATATTGTTTTATATTTATATAACAGTATACAACTTCTTCTGCCTTTACATCTCTTTTATGTCAAAGTAAACAGATTTTTGCTTGAAGATATTTTTCCTTATGTTTAAAATCATCCTCATTGCTGCCTTAATGAGCAGAGATCCTCCTTCAAAACGTGTTGGTTTTGAAGGATTTAGTGAAACGGTCGAGCGATTAGACCCTGTTAGCAGGGACGGGACCTGACTAATTGCCGTCTGTAAATTGAACATGGACTAATGGTGCGATGATGGTGCCATGAAACGAGCTCCTGGGTTAAAAAAAAGCAGGCATGAGCCTGAGGAAGAAACGAAAGTGAGCTCTGCTTCCCTCTTATCAAATATTATTTCAGTGGATTAATCCGTTTTTAATGTGTGTCGTTAGTGAAGCGAGGAAG